ATCCTGTTAGCCAATTGGGAAGACCTGTGTGTTTTTAAATTTTAAACTGGGTGCAGTGTAACAGCTACGTGAATGTATACACCTGATGATGGCCGTTTACGGCCGAAACATGTAGTGTAGAAGAAAGCAAAATGAAAGACCTATAATAAATTGTTGCACTTAGGACGGAATTTATATCGTATATCGTATAGAGTGTAACAGGATGCTTAAATATAATATTAAAATGGATATTATATAGCAGTGATTCTCAACCTTTTGCAGCGTGGGTCCCACTGTTCATTTTGTCAAAGAATCCCAGTCCCATCAGAGATAGACAGAGAGAAAGAGGTGGGGGGAGACTTTCCTTTTCCAGAGTCAAATTTTATAGTTATGTGTACTTTAGTATTATACTAATCATTATTAGAAGCTCTTATGAATTTCAGAGTTTTAATGCTATTTTATATATTCTATTAATAATATTATAGAAAACAATTTTAGTTCTGTATGATTTCAGATTCTCACAGGTGTGGTTACAAAGATGGCTGAAGATGGAGGCAACATGTACCTCCAGAACACTGACTGACATTTATCAGACTACAAGGCATTATATCCCAGAAGATAAAAACTTTCAACTTCAGTTCTTTTAGCAGAATCTCAAATTTTGGTTCTAATAGCAGAAATATGGTAATGGTGTAGCACTAATGACACAGTTGTGGTTAGAAAGCAGGAAAATTTTTGCATAGCTAAATTCTGAATGGATGAATTAATTATTATTTTAAAGATCTCATGTCCCACCCAGCCAACTGTCAAGTCCCATCAATGTGACACATCTCACCAGTTGGGAAACAGTTATATAGGATGTGAGGGTGTGGGATGGATTCATCTGGCTCAGGACAGGTCCAGTGGGTCTCAAAACTCAGTAACGAACCTTCATGTTTCATAAAAAGTGGTGAAATTCTTGATCAACTGCTTCATGCAGAGTGAGTGAGCAATCAGGTAGAAAGACGGACGCTTCTCCCATCAAATCAGGCGGGCCTATAATGCACAAGTTCACGTTACAGAAGCGCTACCTCAAAATTTCACTTTGATTAGTTCTCCTCTCTGTGTCTTTGTCTTGTATGAAACCTTCCAATGAAACAGTATGCATACATGTCCACCATATCTCAGTCTCCTTCATTTAAACACTCCAACAATTGGGACAGGGGCCAAAAGCTCTTAAGCTCTTTTTGATGTTCAACGTATGGGGGAAGAATTTCATCAGTCTGGTCAGCCAGTATTGTCAACAGAAAAAAATTAACAATCTATTACTTATTTCTTTCAACTATGAAGGCATCTGATTTTGACAAAATGTGTCATAGTTGATGTAAAGTAGGGGCACTGAAGGCTGGTATGGGTCTCACAGAGAAACACTGATGTCAATAGGCACTCCTTATTAAGTTGTGACAAATTTCCTCCTGGAAAGCAGGCTCTGCCAGCAAATCTCAACTCCTTACCTCCAAGAGGTGGTCCTGAGTGCCTTCCATGATGTAGCAGATGGAAGTAAGGAAAAGGGCAAGTGTCTGGCACCCAAAAATGGGACTATTTGGCTAAGGGAGTAAACCCTGATAGAAAATTGATGGTGTTTCAGCAAGTTGGTGGGTTGGGCTGACATTCTCATCTTGTAAAAATTTGAAAACTTAAAAAAGACCCCCCACCTGGATGACCTAAAAAGGAAAATTTAAGTCTCATTTTCTCACACTGAGCACACAATTGAGATTATGGATGAAACAGAGGATGATCTTAAGATGCTTAGTGTGAGAAGATGAACATAAAGGACATTGGCTGAGGGGGGGGGGGAATGGAAAAATATCTTGGAAGTGGCCAGGGCACAAACTGGCCTGTGGAGGCATTAGTAGTAATGTAGAAGATGTAAAATAAAAGTTGTCATTTAAATTAAATTTTGAGTGAGATTTGAGGATCTCACATTGGCGAGTATGAAGATTACTGGCTTCGTAAATGTGACACCGTGCACTCAGGTAGATGTCAATCATATCCTACACCAGTTCACAACACAGAAGATAGTAACTGAAATTTTGGGTCTCAATGCAGTGCAGACACACACTAATTAACGTACAGTTCTCATGAATGGACCTATTTATTATACGCTGTGTTTTTCGTAACCTGGTTGGAAGATGTAGACAGATGACAATGTACACTGCATATGCAGCTCCAGTGTTTGTGAACGAAGTTTTACCTGCATGAGGAGAAGCCCCACGATGAAGCCAGAACCCTGGCAGTAGCCAACCTCTCGGTCATGTAGGGAATATGCCTTCATCACATTGAATAAACTCTCCTGTCCCAGTCCATCTTTCTCCTTGAAGAAGTCATGCTCTGGATATGTGCGTGCTATATCGCGTCGGATCACCTTTTCACATGCTGAAGTTGCCTTGATATAATCAGCATACTGCTTCTTGACAGGGGAGTCATGTGCACCACACAGTAGCTGCCACACAATGCCTCGGAAGTGGTGAGGCACTCCCTTCCGAACAAGCTCCTGCAAGAAGTGATACGGTGGTCAGCTTCACATATGACATAAAGGGGCACAAATATATACAAGACAGTACACAGATCAATTCTTCACACATAATTCACCAGTGCTGCCAATATAACTCACTTCTCTGTATCTGCCCCAAATTTTAATATGGGCAAACAGGATATGTGTTCTTCACCTGCAATATGGCTGCTTTCCTTGTCAGTTTCACAGTATATGGCAGCTAAAACTTTACAGAATGAATAATACTTCAAGCTAACAAATTAAAAGTTTACCTGAAGGAGAGACAAAGTTATCCCTTTGCTTATTTACTTAAGCACCATGTAATGAAAATATATGAGGGAGTGGAAATACAGCTTCACCATGTTTAACTTCAGCACTAGGAGGTGACGGCCAGTTTCACATCCTTGCCACTTCACAATGGGGAAACAAATCCCAGGACTCTCTGAATAGGATGCTGGGTAGATCCCAGAGCTGATCTTTATATTATAGAGCAAAAAAAACTCTCTTACTCCTACCAAAAATTGAACCTTGAATCTTCAGTAATCAAGCCAATAGCCCAGTCGCTATACTGAATGAGCTATCCCAGGTATAATGTTCACTTATGCAATAAAAAAAATTGGAAATGAGGATTCAGATTACACCTCACAACTATACTTCAATGCTTGCAAATCATTTTGAGTGCTCTCTATTAGGTTCATGGTATGAAACAGTAAGGTGACAGGTTACATTTTTATATACAGGTATTCCTTATTATATGCAAGTTTAAAAATGTGATTTCATTTTAATCGACTGAAGTAATTTAAATATCCATTAACACCACTTGTTTTAATATAAAGTACTTGCTGGATGAACGGGTGAGACAAGAAGTGTAAGTATTGTGTCAATGGAAATAAAGGAATCTGAGGGGAAAATGAAAAATTATGTTTGGTGCACACAATTTTATAGTCTGTGACCCTTTGGAACACAACCCATGCACAGAGAGTTTCATCTTCTCAGCTGTAACGCTGTGCAGTCAAATGAAAGTCAACTAACATTTCAGACGAACGTGTCGCCTCCATCTTCAGGGTCAAAGAATAAGCCAGGCAAGAAACCTGCATGATTTAGGTTGCAACCAGTTACCACTGGACTACATGGACTACTTGGTGTTATATCCCAGAAGAAAGAACTCTTCAGCACCACCACTATAAGAACCACAAATCCTCTCAATTGACGCATAAATTGAAGAATCCCTGTACATTAGAAAGGAATAAGTATTTGGGTCCAGTAACACAACATGACAAGGAGAGTGAAAGTGATCTAACACGCTGTCAACGTTACCCTCAGTACAACTACCATCAACTGCACTAATGCTAGCAGAGGTTCCTCATATCCTCAAACTGTGGCTCAGGTTTGTGTATCAGAATACAGAATCCCATAGTAACAATATTAGGACCTGCAAGTTGCTTATATTTGTGATTTAAAGTTTATTTTTTTTCTTGTTTGGGTTATCGAACACTGAAGTGACAAGAGAAAGAGTAGACCTACCAGCCCAATAGTGGGAGGTGTATAGAGCAAGGTAAATGATATCCGAGGCCCTTTCAAATCATTGAATTGTATGAGATTTTAACAATTAGTTATCTATATATTTTATCATCACTGTCAGCATAATCATCATCATCATCGTGTCATGTCCTCCAGGACTCAAAACTGCTATTTCCACCAAACAGCCTTTTCACCAATAGGTACTGAGGGCTCTTTTGCAAGGGTAAAACAGCTAAGAACTGAAGCTGACTACTCAACGCCACTTACTGTCAAGGTTCAGAATGTACGGGGCTATAGCTCCACACTCACATATGTCTTCAGGATGTAGTGCTTAATTTGTTAAGCACAGGGATGACTTCACCTTATACAAAGCCAAAACAAGAAGTACTCAAAACACCTGTCACAGAACCTCACTTGTGACTGTTCAGAATACAAAATAATTTAAAGCAAATCTAGGAGGAAGAGGATCAGGAAAGCACATTCCATGTTGACAGCAGTAACTTCTGCGTTCCACAACGAAATATAATTTGAGATCTAAGTTTCTCGTGGTGAAGAACATCAAGATCACTGTTTTCTGAGGTGTCACCATGCAGTGTGATAAAGTAAAGTAAAAAGTAAAGCTATCCCTGTACCAGGCCATGAAGGCCCATAGGATTGTGAGATGTTGAGGGTCCCATATTATCTAGACAATCAGCTCAAAGATGGTGGTAAGGTTGTCAGCCCTACGCGTCAGCCGCGCTTTACTCCCCAGTAAAATTATTTAATTAATTCCTGGTACTCATTTCTGTTAGAGGCTGAGTAAACCCCAGAGCCTAGTGCAGCTGGAAGGATTAGATCAACTGAAAAAATCCAATGACCTCATTGGGACTTGAACCCGCGACCTTCCAGCTTGTACCATAGGCCCTCAACCAACTACGCTACCAACATGCAGTGTGGTAGATAAGTAAAAAGATAAAAGGTAAAGCTGTCCCTATAAGAGGACGTGGAGGCCCATAGGAATGTTAGATGTTGAGACTCCCACATTTCCTAGACAATCTGGTGACAGATTGCAGCAAGGTTTGCAAGCCTTATGCACTGGCCTCCCCTTTAACCCCAGGAAGATTCTTGGTACTCATTTATGTTAGAGGCTGAGACGACCCCAGGGCCATAGTGTGGCTGGAAAGACTGGGTCAACTGAAAAATCCAATAACTTCACCAGGAATCCAACCTGCTTGTAGCACAGTGCCTCAACCAAATACATACCGCGTGCCCCCTGGTAAACAGGTACCAACACTTAAACGGAATTTGATGCCCTGAAGAAAAAAACAACATCTGTAACTATCTGGCAGGCTAAACAGTGTCACACAGTGGTGGAATGTTTATGTTAACTATGTTCAGCATGGCTGACACTTCGAAAAAATAAAATAAAAAATGTTACTTTTATGGTTCGCTGATACTTCATATACTGGCAGGAGAAGTGATCAAAAAATGCATTGTTCACCACCTCCAGCCAGCCCATCACATGACACTGTCAGTCAGTTCCTTTGGGCTGTCTGAGAGCACAGGCATTTATAATAAACAATATATAGCATGTACTTCAGAGGTGTGAGTACATGACATTCCAAATTATCACATTAGCCAAGCCAGGAATGTTAACATACTTCAGCTGCTTGTGTGTGCCCATCTAGCTATGAAGAGAGTCCACAATTAGCTATGCAGCACACACAACTCAGGAGGGACTCAATAAGTTATCATTAATGATGACAGAAGAAAATTCTTCAAGAATTAGAAATCAATCAAGACTTCTGTGATACATATTGTAACGTGTTTAGCCAATGAAGACGCCGTTCAGATTGTTAATTGGTTTATTTAACAAGCTACAAGTCTCAGCTACAATTAATTATAACACAAAGTTGCAGGGTTTCACACTTTATAACCCTATTCGCAGTAATCTGTTCACTCTGTCCTTTTTCACACTGTTGCGGAGTTTCACACTTTATAACCCTATTCGCAATAATCTGTTCAATCTATCTTAAGTAGTCTACACGTATTCACAGTACGGGAGCTATACAAGTGTCACTGTGTTACACACTCCCAATTACTTCTCAGTTATCACAAACTATCACTGTTTGTCACACACGTCCGGTTCTTCTTTCCGCAAATGCTGCTAGATTCCAGCTGTGTCACTCCTGATCACACACTAACTCTTGCTTGCTGCTCAGCCAGCTTTCATTCCGTTCACTGTTGTCTGTTGCCCGTGTCAACAGCGGCGTTGTGTGCCACGTCACAGTAGGAAGNAGCGGTGCCACGTCATAGTGCGGGGGGGGGCGGAGTGCTGACTCACCTGCTACGTCACCGTGGCCAGAGCTGCCACGCCACTGCTGGGGAGGGAGGGGGTGTCCTCCATTGCGCAACACGTCACAATATATTTTCATTGAAAAAAATCATGACATGGAACTGAACTCCATGGTGTAATGAAGAGGAATGTAAGCTCAGTAGCTGTTAAGCATGCTTTTTTAGATTATATTTCCTTCCTCTTTTATACTTTAATTCAATTTTAGTTCTAATTTACACAGTTGCCTTATAAAATGTATATACTCAATTGTCAACATTTTCCAGATATGTCTTGGCCTCAGAGTTTTGATAACTCTTCTGAAAACGTTACACTCTGCCATTGGTGTCACATCCCAGAAGACCCCAATCTTAATAGAGAATTTATTTAATAACCAGAAGACTTTAAACTGTCACACCATTTGGTGCTGCAACTTACTCTAACAAAGGAGTTGCGCTTCTTCCAAAAGTTGTCCCAGTCATTGGATACTCTACCCCACAGGGTCCAGATATCTTCCTCTCCATCCTCATTGCGTTCCTGACTGATGCTAGTACCTGGGAACATAACACAAGCCATAAATATAACCTACCATGTGTGGCTGTATCCAATGTAATTTCAGCTGATTAGCAGACAGCTGCTTACCTGAAGTTAATGAAATCTGGGATGTATCTGAACTCTTCCGGGAATGGCCACTCCCAGAAAGGGAATTCAAGGATTTGGCATCGGCTTCAATAAGCCTAAAATCATAAAGAGCTCAAATTCAGCAGGACCTGTATAATCCCTGCAACTTCTCATTCATGAAACAAGAAAACCTGCATAGGCTGTTCAGTAACTTACAAGGACATGTTACATTTGCATTTATTGCTTCAACATAGATGTCCAGAACAACAAGAAACAATGGCCAGACACCCCCCCCCCACTTTGCCATGTATGCACCAAACCAACTGAGACATTTGTTCAAGGCATTCAGCACGAATCTGATTCCCATGAAAACAAATACAGCGTCAGTGATTGCAGTCATTAGTGCAGCATGGCCTCCCTCTCATTATCATGCCATAAATGCTTCTTTTGAAGTACCCTTTCGGCAATCTATGGAAGTGGAAATCGCTTGATGAAGGTCTGGGCTGAACTGTGGATGGGCAAGACATTCCAAGCAGTCTGTGCATATATGCTGACATCACTTTGGAATGCACAGGTAATTCTCTTTCTTCAGCTCCTGGACCACAGGGCAACAACAAATTCACACTGCTGTCACACGACAATGTGGCACCTGAAGCAAGCAATCTCGATGAATATTATATTTAAGCATCCTGTTGCACTCCATACGATAAATGATATAACCTCCGTCTCAAGTGCAAACAATATATTCTTGTGTCTTTGATCTTGCTCTCTACACTACATGTTTCGGCCTCAGATGGCCATCATCAGGTGTATAACACTCACGTCGCTGTCACACTGCACCCACTGACACGTAGTAAAGAACAGCAGCGGCACGCACACAGAAAGACCACACAGGATAACACCTATACAGTGTGGAAACAAGAACTAGCCGCTGCAGCACTTCAAACACAGGGCGAATAACCCTAACAATTTTAAAATTTTAAAATTTGGACAAGAATTTAAAAGTTTAAAATTAGAACTAAAGATTTTATTATGGTGCTATTACAATAAACTCAAAATTAACGTGTGTGAAGTAATCTACGGGTGGACAGCTATCAACGAAGTAGAAGTTGATAATGACAGGGAGAGTGTTTTAGATGTTAAATTTTGAACTGGGTGCAGTGTGACAGCGACGTGAGTGTTATACACCTGATGATGGCCGTCTGAGGCCGAAACATGTAGTGTAGAGAGCAAGATCAAAGACACAAGAATATATTGTTTGCACTTGAGACGGAGGTTATATCATTTATCTTGATGAAGTAAACACTGAGCTTTAATTCTTTCCCTCGTAGAATTAAACAGGAGATGTATCACTGGGACAAATATCTCAGTTGCTCTGGCAATTACATGGAAAAACAGAGGCTCTAGCTCCTCTATTACTTGTACCAATGGATATTAAAAAAAGGGGGGGTAAAGCTATCCCTGTAACAGGCAGTAAAGGCTTATAAGGTTGTGAGATGTCGAGGGTCCAACATTCTGTAGACAATCGGCTCACAGATGGCAGTGAGGTTGTCAGCCTTACACACTGGCAGGCCGCCCTTTACCCCCAGGAAAATTCCTGGTATTCATTTCCATTAGAGGCTGAGTTGACCCCAGGATCACAGCACAGCTGGAAGGATTAGGTCCATTAAAAAATCCAATGACCTCATCAGGAATTGAACCTGCAACCTTCCAACTTGTAGCATAGTGCCTTAACCGACTATGCTACCACATGCCTCACTGTTGGACATCTATAGTGAAATAACAAACACCAGTGAAATACACCCTTGCGTGCTACATACCAAACAACTCCGATAAAACTGATATCAGAGCACTTGCCTATACTTATGCTTGCCCTTATAATGGAAAGTCACCTAATTATTGAGAATGTTTCTTGACATCAATATTTATATCAACTTTTTAATATCACATGATCCAACTTCATGTCTTCCTTGTTCACTCTGATTTTAAAATATGGGTATAGCTCATTGACACACAGGCTCCTTTGTCAGTTGATAGTTATTATGTTGGTTAACCCTCCAAAGCACAGTGGTTACTATATGTACAACCTGTTTTAACATGAAAAAATTCAGCATTTTGTCCACAAAGTGTATATAAGGATTTTCTGATTCTCAAAATAAACAGCTATCACTTCCCTAAACAGCGTTAACCAGTTTATCTCTGTAATGGGAACACAGAGTGTATTGTATATTATTTAGACAAATTCCATGATTCAAAGGGTTAGGAAATTCCTTGACTTTAAGGTTCATCACTTTGTTCACAAAAGCCTGCCACTGGAATTTATCCTGAGTCAATTCAATTAGTTCATAACTTCAGAATCTGTAACATGCAGATCCATTTTAATGTTATCAGCATATGCCTCAGTCTGTCTTGATTTCTTGTCATCAGATATGCAGTCAAAATTATGTTAAGATTTATAGCAACATATAAACAAATTATATGAGTATATATTGTAACATGGATTCCCATTGCCAGGCACTGGCTTGATAAACAAATTCCCGTGAAGACAGATTCTTGGTAAACCGTCCCTTGCTATGTAAGATTTGAGGTTTTCATGGCGGTGACTATGAACAAAGCAGTCTTCTGGGATGTGGTGCCGTGTACATATTGTGTTAACCGACGTTTTGGAGGAACGTATTGTCTCCATCTTCAGGGTAGAAGACAAGAAGAAATCTGTGAGCTGCTCACACTGGTTCGCTTGCAGATTTCTTGTCTTCTACCCTGAAGATGGAGAAGATACGTTCCTCCAAAACTTCAGTTAACACAATATCTACGCGGCACCACATCCCACAAACTGCATCCCTTGCTAGGTTACACAACAATTCTGACAACAGAAGTGTTTTCAATGTGGTCCGCGCCATGCCCAGTGCTAGGCAACAGAACTGTAAACACATCTACAATAACAGAAGGTGTTTTCTACATGTGGTCAGTGCCAAAGGTTTATAGGGGACAACAAAGGTCATTTGCGAATAGCTGCAGCTGAGGACCCGTGAGTCAGGGACATGAAGCCGTCATGGATCAGAGTTGAGTTGAGAATTCAGTTCTGGATGGGCGGCCGTGAAGAGAAGACTTTATGTATAATACCTGCAGTGTGTAATTCAGTGAGACTGTTATAGCTCCTATGTTTTAATTGTGTTGCCAAGAGATAACTGGTGTGTGTGTGTGTGTGTAACAGTGAATTATAAAGGGCAGAAATAGTGATAGCACTATAATTACATGTATCACCAATGGTGTGTATAAGGAGTAAATAAACACATTCATCCATCTATAACCCATATTATTAGTAATACACATGACAATATATTTTCATAGATGTTCTTTTTTCATGACAGGTCTCAACTAAATGACTAAAACAAAAAGATCACATAATAGTCATAAAAATAATTATATAACAGTAACTTATTACATTTTCTGGGAAACGTCACCATATCCAAGAAGAAAGACCCAGCCACATGAATCATTTAACAGCATAAATACATTTAACACATAATCACAAAGAAACAGTGAAAGTGACATAATAATAATAACAATATAATAACAACAATAAAATAGAATGTGATAAAGAAATTGATGCTCCATAAAATTATTATGATCATATAAGGCAGAGCTTGCAGCCAACAGTTTACAGCAATATTTTCACATTTTACACCTGAAGACAGTGCATATACCACCAAATATATAGCCACATAGTAATATGAGTCAATATGGATTGCTATGTTGACTGTATTTTAAATAGATCCTTCATGCATGCTATTTACCCTCAGAGTAAGAGACTAAGTAATATGACTTAAAAAAGTTAGCTGTATATCATTCTAACAGTTGCAAACACAGGACCATTATACAATGTAGGACACGTGCCAAGTCACCTGTTTAAAAGTACTGTAATAACCCTGACAATTGATCTGAAGTCAGTTTTAGGTCTGTGACATGTCACAAGTTACAAACATAGACACCACACCAATTATTCAACTTGTTGCAGTCTCTCCATTTTCAATGTCTGGAATTTTAAATTTTCATCTCTCTTTGGTCCAAATATTCTCCTCAACACCCTGTTCTCAAATACCCTCAGTCTATGTTCCTCCCTTAATGTCAGAGACCAAGTTTCACACCCATACAGAACCACAGGCTAAATTATAGTTTCGTATATTCTAATTTTTATGTTTTTGGACAACAGACGGGAAGACAAAAGGTTCTGGACTGAATGGTAGCAAGCATTACCCAAGTTCAATCGCCTCTTAATTTCCTCCTGAATCAGGTTTCGATCTGTTATCGTTGTTCCCAAATATCTGAACTGTGCCAAGTTTTCAAAACATCTGTTTCCTATCTTTATGTCATGATTTTGCCCTGCATTTTGGTGACGAGACAGCAACATATACTTAGTTTTCTCTGTGTTTACTTCTAGACCAATCTCTTTACTTGCGTCAATTAAAGTTTGTGTGTTTTTCTTTATGGTATATACATTATCACAACATTTATAGCATTATATTTCCTAATTAAAATACAAAATATATGCTTACATTAAATTAATAAATAAATGAAATCATCCTAGTTAAACAAAATTTTCTTCTCCCCTCAAGTATGTACTAATACCATTAGACTCATAACATGAAACAATAACTAGCTTCCTGTTGTGACATCTGAAGTTCTAATGGCATCATGAGGATCAAGCTGGTGATGTGATGCCATGAAGTTTGGTCTGTTTTACACCCAAAATTGGAGGCAGCAGGTTCCTGCAAAATGGTACTAATAAACCAAAAACTACATAACTTCACAGCATCACATCTCAAAAGACCAAAATCTTGACAGCTTCTTCTTGAACAAGGCAATACCACTCGCACTAGTACCTTGCTACAGTTTGAGTATAAACTACAATTCATATTTGTTACAATGTCTCACCAATTATTTACATTGCCCTTATTGAGGACTCTTTTCCCAGAAAAGAAATGACAAGTTTCTCACCTGTTGGCCTCCTCCAACTTCGCGAGCAGCGCCAGGTCGCCGGGTGAGGGATCGTTATTATTCACGTGAAAGCTGCCACTGTTGTTGTTGTTGTTGTTGTTGCTGCTGTTGTTATTATTATTATTATTATTATTGCTGGAGGATAGAGTTCCTAGCACGGACTCACTACCGGAGTGTGCTACCATGACGGAACTCATGGCCCGCCCATCAGTGCAGCCGCCTCCACCACCACCACCACCGCCAACACCACCAACTTGCCCATGTGTCGCAAGTCGAGCAGCGGGGTTGTTGAGACGGCCATCACCCACCAATACCACGTGGCTTCTGACAGAAAAGCAGCGTGTCATCCACTCGGAACATTGTGGAGCTGTAGTATCTTCAGAAGAAATAGATACATGGACACAAGGTAGTTCATTTCCAAACCACAGCCAGCATTACAGGATATTGGAAGCAGGATCCTGCCACATTTTTTACCCATCTTCCTTACATTCATAGGAAAAGTAAGACTTATGGTAGGCCATGCTACAGTTCAGGCAATTAGATACTGCCTGCCCACCACAGAGCTTGGGTTCAATCCCAGGATAATGGCAGATAGGGTGGCACAAGGGCAAGTTTCTCTCTGAACATTTGAGTGTTCCCTTACCAAATATTGATTCACCATGCTCCAAGATCACTTATCATCAGGAGCTGGTACATGAAGTTCATTTGAAGCCACAGCACTTTCTTGTGAAATAAGAAAGCTTGTGGTGTACCTCTGAATCCCTCAAAAGTGTTCTTAAAATCAACTGACTTTTACAGAATTTGGTTTCAATATCTTACAATTTGAAGCCTTTACAATCTGTAATTCCTTATCATTATTAATAAGACCATGAGAGCCATAGAAACTTGAGGAAGTCTTTTTTGTTCCATTCATTGTGAAATCGCGAAATTATGTATAAAATGAATATATATATATATATATACATATATATATATATGCTAACTTCAGTGTGGTTATTTCGGAGGAGAGTGTTGAATAAATGTAATAACTCTGCAAATCTATATTTCACTACTTTTACATTTAATGGGCAATCAACCAATGAACTATTTTAGCCAAAGATATAAAATTGGGTTTGGTGATACAAGTCTGTACTCTCTTTGTGAGGAAAAAATAGGGTCTGGTACTCATGCCAGAATCCTCTTTTCAACGTCTGAATTAAATGCTCAGTTTTTACAAAATATGGTATGAACAGAATTACACTGGACTGATATGTGATCATTTTCCAAGAACACATTAACTTTCTTTAAAAAAAAAGGACACTTTAAAAAATGCTGGTGATATGTACCATTGCATACTGCCAAAATTGATAAAACATATAAACAAATCTGAAATTCCACATGAAATCATTTTTTTCCCCCACTTTGTATGACATACTTGTAAAAATGTCTATAAGCAATTCTGGACAAAAATAAAATGGCAGTTGTACAATTATTTAAAAGTACCAGTCATCCATGTACACAGATGCAGGCATATTGTAATTAACTATGCAGTCAGAAATTTCTATTTGTAGTAGACATGGTTTGACAATAAAGTTCGCGAACTCGTCACCGTGTGCTTGCCGTGGCAGCAGCGGACAGAAACCTCAGTATGGTTTGATGACACTGGTATATCAACATTTCACAGCTGTGTTGTTGTTGATCTATGGCAGCACTTTTCTGAGTGGTGTCTATTATTGTCTGAGTGTGTTTTAGTGTGCCATTCTGAGAATGTCGGAGCTTCTTGTTAAACTTGGAAAGAGTGGAAGCGAAATCAGAGGGATCTTAGTGCAAGTTTATGGGGATAATGCTATGAAGAAAACAGGAGTTTACACGTGGGTGACACATCTTAAGAGAAGAGAAAGTGTCACTGACAAAGAGAGATCAGGACGGCCAGCAATGAGCAGCACTGAAGGAAACATTGCAAAAGTTAGTCAAGTTGTGAGTGAAAATCATCGGCTGAATGTCAGGAGCATAGTAGAGAAAGCGAACATCGACAGAGAAACAGTTAGGAAAATCTTAACTGAAGAGCTTGACATGAGGAAGGTGTGTGCAAAAATGGTCCCAAAGGACCATTGTCTGTGAGGGAGTTTTTAGCCAGTAAACAAATAACTATGATGGAACATCCTCCCTATTCACTGGATCTAGCCCCCAATGACTTTTTCTGTTCCAGAAAATAAAGGAAATATTGAAAGGAGGCATTTTGATGACACTGATGATATCAGAAGCAATACGATGGCAGGTCTTAAGGCCATTCCACAAAAACCAGTTCCAAAATTGTTTCGAAGGGTGGACTAGGTGCTGGCATTGATGCATAGCTTCTCAAGGGCAGTACTTTGAAGGCAACCACAGTGATATTCATCAATGAGATATGTAGCACTTTTACCGGGAAGAGTTCGCGAACTTTGTCAGACCACGTATGAACCTTAAGACCCATGAGGTATGCAAAATAAATAAATAATGATTTTAGAATTTTTGTGAAGTACTTTGCCTTCTGAGACACAGGACAGTATCACAGTATGAATAAGAAATCTTGCTTCTGAAACTAGGACACAGAAACATAACATGCTGGCTGCACGACCTTCCACGTTCTTATTGCCATCTAACCCATGTTGATGGGGCTTATTTTTTTCAAGTTTACTGAATGATGCTCACAGTAACTCAAGGCTGAATGATTGCATGATAGTGGGTAATTAATTCGAAGTGATGGAAAACAAAGCAGCTGTGACATAATATAAGGTACTCTTTGCCTGGAGGGACCTAGAAAAAAACTACAGAACATCAGTCAGGATATTCACTGTCCCAGCAAAAGTCTTGGTGCAGGCAGTCGGAATTGCTTGGTTATACAGTGATTAGATTCTGTTTCTTTGCATCATAATGAAATGATACTGGTCAGCAGCAGTTATTTTTCTGGCATCTCATCTTATACAGTGACAAAGATTTTACTCAGATCATTTGACCACTCCAAAAGTAAAATTATATTCATTCTGCAATTGCAAAATTATTTTATTTCAGCCAAAAGATATTATTTTATTTAAGGGTGGTTTAATTACACTTTATTATCATTGCATGAAGCGCTGGGAAGAAATGAGGTCAGGACAGGTTAGGACAGGAGAGAATACAAAGAAAGAGAGAATCATATGGAAAGAGCTGGGGGGGAGGGGTTCTAGCAATCAACCTATACAACAAAACAGCACTACAGTCTCAAAAAACAAACAGTTTTATTATTTTTATTTTGAGAATAAGTGTCTTCTTGGATTTAACACAGTGTGGTCTAACATAGTTTAATGGGAATAATGTATTGTATTTTGAATCGACAGATATGAGAGGTTCCACCATACAAAACTTGTGTACAATTGTATTAACTGTACACAACTATTGCTTTTATTTTTGATGTGGGATATATTTTGCCAGTTGTGAATCTTGCTTATGATAATGCCATTGCAGACAGGGTTTATGTGGAGTTCCACATACCGTTTTCATAGTAAATGCTGTGAGAATCTCGAATCTCACAGGTTTAGTTCAGGAGGAGTAGTAATCTGGATGCACCCTGTTCAAATCTCATCCGGCTTAAGATAATTACTAAACCGACCATGAGAGCTTCTTCCTATACCCCTATCACCATTGTGTAGGGATCAAGGTTCTCATACAAGTGATTATGAATAATTCTACTGTCTGGGATATAATGTCCCGTAGTCTGTTCAAAGTCGACAGATGTTAAACTGATCTCCTTGCTACCTGCTCCATGCTGCCTTCTTGCTTCCCTTATTCATAGACCCTGAAGATGGTGGCGATACGTTCTCGTCGGCTGACTTTCAACAGACTACAGGAAGTAATATCTCAAAAGGCAGAATTCCAATCATCACTGAACAAAAAGTAAGCATAATGGTGTGCTTAAGTATTACATCATGAAGATTTACACAATAATAAGAGGCATAGATGACGCTTTTTTCGCAACTCTTTTAAATTCGGCAGAAGATGTGAGTGAGTGGTCAAACTTCACACCTGGGAAGAGTCCCGGTACCCATTAAAGAAGAAACCAGGCAGGCTCCTGAGCCAGTCTGTACATTGCAGATATCAGAAATCCGGTAGTTCAGCTAGTCACTACACTGACTGAGCTAATAAATAACGATTAACCATCCGGCATTCACGATTTATTTATTTATGGTTTATGAACCAACACTGTCAGTAGCTGTTACGATGACTTACGAATCATAAATTGGAAAGGATGTTAGAGGTTAGATCACGGCATTTGTCTGGAGGGGCTGAGGAATAGACGATAAAGCTATATCAGGATAAACGGTCCCCAGACCCAGAATTGAACCTGAGACCCCCCGAATATCAAGCACCAGGTTTACCCATTTGGTCTGGAAGTTCGGTCCCAATGATAATTATTGTCATGTGTTTCATAATTTCTTCCAACCGTTACATCACCAACTCTAACGGGTTCCCTCAGTGGTATATAACACTTGGGAGGACTGAGTTTCTGGACTTCGAAAAGTACTGTCCTCTGATATGTAACACCGTGTGGTCTGACAGAAGTTCACCGGCATTTCTGAGGAATGTACTGCTCCTATCTTCAAGGTAGAAGAGTAAGCAAGCAGAAGGCCGCGCCATAGCTCAAGCGGTTAGTCGCTGGCTTTCCACAGCGGTGGCCCGGTTTTCTCCGAGTACTTCGGTTTCCCTTGCCAATCTTCATTCCACCAATTGCTCCACAATCACCCTCACCTATCATCTGGGGCTGGTACAATAGGCCAGAAGTGGCCGCAGTGAAAGGGGTTTAGTCCCACCCCACTAGCAATAAAAAAAAAAAGCAAGCAGAAGGCAGAGAGAGCAAGCGGGGTCCACAGTTCCCTTGATTGTGTTGGTTTCTTGCTTGGTTTACTCTTCGACCTTGAAGATGGAAGCAGTACGATTATCCGAAATGCGGTGAACTTCTGCAAGACTACACGGTGTTACATCTCTTCACAGTCACCAATGTAAGAATCTCAAATCTAACTTCCCGGACCTTGTCCATCGTCGAAGTACTCTGAAGGAACACGTTTCGGAGACTGGATCTGTTTCCGTCTTCAGCTTCGAAAGTGGGGGGGCACCTATTCAGTTGGCTCCATTAACAATGACCAGACACGATCACTGGGCCGGTGCGGACTGTGAGCCCAGAGAGCGGGCCTGGGAAGAAGCGCGAGACCGTGTGATGAACGATCGATATCTATAAAGCAGCCATTGGCCGATGTTCCAGTCTGGGCGTGGCGCTGTGGTGAATTTCACAGGAAGCCTCATTAAGAGGTCCGGAAATAAATTAGTAACAGGTGGGTTCACACTGTTGCGTCGCGGAAATGCACTTGACAGGTGGCTTCACACCACAGTGGCAGGGAAATGCACTTAACAGGTGGATACACTGCCATAAGGGGCACAGGTACGTGATGGGTGGGTTCACAACCGTATGAGGAAATCTACCCCTGTAACAGGCCGTGGAGGCCCATAGGGTTGTGAGACGTCGAGACTCCCACATTTTCTAGACAATCGGCTCAAAGGTGGCGGCGAGGTTGTCGGCCTTACGCGCCGGCAGGCCGTCCTTTAACCCCAGGAAGATTCCTGGTACTCATTTTTTTGTCAGAGGCTGAGTCGATTCTAAGGTCACAGTGCGGTTGGAAGATTTAGGTCAATTGAAAAATTCAATGACCTCATCGGGAATCGAACCAGCGACCTGCCAGCTTGTAACATAGTGCCTCAACCAACTACGCTACCGCGTTCCCCCAATCTACACTGTTACTGTACTGTACTGGGCCATATAACGTAACCCGGACACAGGCAGCGCAAGATTTTAACTGTGTTCACAAAATTTGCTAACAAATTTACGCTCAAGTCGCTTAAGAATATTACTTATGGATTGCACCCAGAGCTCTGGGTTTCCTCTATCTCACAGATGTGTGTTCAACATCCTTTCATGTCAATTCTTGGTGTTAATATTTAGCAAATTCCCTTCTCTTTTTGGTTTTAATTTGTTTCCAAAAATCCGGAGTAATGTAGGCGTCGCCAGCCCACCAATTCGCGAGCTCGGCTTTGGCTCAGTATCTGTTGACGAAAGGGCGAGAGGGGGTAGAAAATGGGGTTTCTACTACCAACCCAGCGAGCTGACTGTCAAAATGATCACTGACAGTAGCTGTGTGGCACGGCTCAAACTGGTAATATGTTCCTTTTCGGTAAATTTTGCAGACTGGTGGCAGCAACTCTGCAATCGTGGTGATATTTAGAATTATCTAGCAGGCCTGATGCTTACTTCGTAAGTACAGTCACTCGCACGGATACTACAACATGACTTCTCTTTGGTGAGGTTCGGCGTCTCAACGTTGGGGTACTACGGGGCTAAGAAAAGGGTGTAATTTACAGTGTTGTCAAATGGTGTGAAGTGGATAAGAGAAACGGTTTTATAATTTACATAAGTAAACCAATTTTGTATTTAAATCGTAATTCCAAGATTATAGAGTAATGTACTTTTGTGTTTCAGTTGTCATCCATATGGACTATACCTGTTTACTTCGTTGTGCACTTCAAAATATTCGGTACTACGGCCATCATTCCAGGTCGGCTCAACAGTTTTCCAGGTTATACAACGTGTTTCTAAATTATTGTCGAGGTCTCCAAATGTGCAGTTCCAGCAAGATGGGCTCGTATTGTCCGACAATTTCTTGACATGTATTTTCATGGGTTAGCCGTCGTGGACCAATTCCGTGGCCTCCGAGCTCACCCAATATTATGCTGTTTGATTTCTTCCTGTGGGGATACGTCAGGTATATTGTTTACAAGACCCCTGTGACCTCCTACGATGAACTGAAGCTCAGAATTGTTGCTACGACGAAACAGTTACACCGCAAATGCTGGAGAACACTTGAAGGGTAATTCAATACCGCCAGGACATCTTACATGCCACGAAAGACGTGCATGCTGAAGTTGTTTAGCATTATTAAGTATGGAGTTTATAGAAAATTAAAACTTTATGGGTTACCCTTTCATATTCCGTAAGCAGTTTTACTTTGCTATTTCCAGTTTGAAAATTATACGTCACGGAAACATCGACAATAATTTAGAATCACCCTGTAGGTCGGGAGCCACTATCTGTGACGGACGCCGAATTATGGGTATTTACTGCAGGTGGGTCGACAACACTCACCTCTTCTTGGGGCGCCCACGCTGCCAGCGACATGGTACCAACTTCTGAAGCACCATGCTGTAGCCTGGTGGTGACAGTCACTCCAAAACTGTTCTCATGTTCTTGGCACAAACTTCGTATGAGTGAATGTAACAAAACTAATTTCTCACTGAACCCGAACACGAAGGGAGTTCAAATTATGTTTAACAATATGTTGATGTATATGGCCCAATAGAAAAACAGTTTATAGATATTTCCAGCCCTTTAGCTAGTAACAAAAAGAGTCGCCGGTACCCATTGGATATGTGACTTGTCTTGGAGTCCTTAAATAGACGCCGTGAAGAGAAAAATCTCTGCCCTACCGTTAATCGAACTCGGATTTCCCGATCGTCCAGCCCGTAGCTTAGTCAACTAGTATAGCTTCCACTGAAAATTCAATTACATCAATAAATTATAATGTGATTCTAAATTATTTTGGCAACGCTGTAGTCGCCGCGTTGATGTCTGGACGAACATTTGACGTCATACCTCAAAATGACGACTGTTGAAACATTCGTTTTTCGATGCAACGTCGTTACAGAACTTAATATGGAACAGATCCACCTTCAGATAATGTTATCCGACGCTGGTTAAAACAGTTTCAAGAGACTGGTAGTGTTCTGCATCGAAAAGAAGCGCGAAGACCGAGCACTTCGCAGGAAGATGCTGATCGAAACCAGGAAACGTTTTCTCGAAGCCCACAAAAATCAACTAAACGAGCTTCTTTGCAGTTAGACATGTCACAAATGACGGCTTGAAGGGTTGTTCATTCTATAAGTAATGAAAATTTTCGAGTTACACTTTCATATTCCATATTCAGTTTTATTTTTTTGTTTCCGGTTTGAAAATTATAGGCCACGGAAACCCCGACAATAATTTAGAACCACCCTGTATTTTTTCGTTATGTAAGATTCAAGTAACAAATGGCCCCACCTCGGAATATGAGATGTGACACAATGATGAACTATAAGGCGTGTTTTCCAACGCTGTGAGAAATACCTACTACTACTATTGGAACTTCAATATTACAACACAAACTACGAGCGTTTCTTGCCTCCTTCCTATGGAAGACGAGCATATATTTCTTCCGTTACAGATTATCATTCGCAGAGATTAAGAATTGCTATCCTGCCATGGGCGGGCCAATCATTTGTCCACTCGCCCCACCAACAGATCAAGAGACTGTGGAACCCGTACTACACAACTCTATAAAAACTCCGAGGCTTTAGTTCGCAAGCGAACTATAGCGACCGAGCGACCGCCGCTTGTCGGATACCACTGAAAAGTAAAGGTTTAACGCAAACATGGCGCGCAATCTGTAATGCTTTAGAATCTTGAGAAAAGTAGAAGTAAAATTATTAAACACTATTCTATGAGGATTAGAGGGGGCTGTATAAATCCCCGTGTTCTTACCCCTAGCACTAGATGGTGTGGTCAATTTCACGCCCCGGCCACTTTACCCACGGTAGCCACTGAATGGGATGCTGGGTGGGACGAGAACCGGTCTGGACGACGAGAAGAAGAAAAGTTTCATGTCTCTGCCGGTAATTGACCTCCGATTCCTTGGCCACCCAGACCACAGCCAGTCGCTATACCAACTAATTTTTCCTGATTCCACAGTTACTTCAATATACTTCCTTAAATATTAACAAAAAATAAACGAGAAATACCAATTTAGTCTCCATTCCTCTAAAAACATCAAACAATTCTTATAAACGAAATTTTCCGATTCAATTTGCAATCATAGCGCCACGAGTAACACCATAAAACGCGTATAAACAATACAACTGATAAATTATAAATAACATATATAACATATAACATATACAAGCTATTCTTGTAACAAGGCGTGGAGGACCGTAGGGTTCTGAGACGCCGAGGCTCCCACATTTTCTAGACAACTGGCTCAGAGATGGCGTTGAGGTTGTCAGCCATAAGCGCCGGCTATCCTTTACCCCCAGGAAGACGCCTGCTACTCCTTTCTGTCAGAGGCTGAGTCGACCCCAGGGCCATATTGCGGCTGGAAGGGTTAGGTCAATTGAAAAATGCAATGACCTCACTGGGATTCGAACTCGCGACCTTCCCGCTTGTAGCATATATAAATTATGTTCTTTTGTTTATCACATTCTGCCAGAGAGCGTGCGTGTACAGCCAAGGTCTACCTTTTTTTTGTTGGTGTGATCACGAAATGTGTGATGAAACTGGCCGTCCCGTCGAGACGTGATATCTAAGGCCCTGTTGCGCCCTTCGCGGAAGTAACAACAATGCAGAATCTTATAACAGGTGTAGAAATACCTCCTACTTTCTTTTTTATTTTTCTTGGGTGGGATAAGATTGAGTCCACTTGGTACGTCGGCCACTACTTGGCCTACTGTGTCAGACCGGGATGACAGATGATGATGATGAGCGCGAAGCAGTCGGCGGAATGAGAATTGGCAGGGGAAACCGAAGTACTCGGAGAAAACCTGCCCTAATGCCACTTTGCTCACCACAAATCCCACATGGCCTGAGCTGTGGCACGGCCTAAATGCCTCCTAAGATGGGATTGCATCTCGCAGACACTGAGAAGGGTCTTCATTCATTCATTCATTCATTATTAGAGGGGGTGGGTTTCCCCATGCGCTTAGACCAGTTATTGGTCCATTGTGCGTCCCCCTTTAATTTCTACTGTCGCCATACCCTTCCAGTACTGGTGCTCGCTATCAGCCCCATTCTGCCAGCGAGGTCGGCCCTCTTCTGGCAGTGGTACCCAATACTTCCCCATCTACCGGAGGCATTGGAAACTACTTGGGCGGGAAACTTTGCCTAATTTTGCTCAGAAGTCTCCTAGAGACACGAGGATCTTTTACGTGCCGTAAATCTATGACACGGGGCCCACGGCTTAAAGTCCCTCCCGGAGGACTTGTTCCCTGAATTTTTCCGCCCTTAAAAATTCTACGACCTCCGCCGGGTTTGAACCCGCGTACCTTGAGTTATGAGGTGGGGAGAAGGGTCTTACATTTTCTGAAAACAAATGCTTCAAAGAATTTATTGCGGATATTATTTTATGACTTATACAAGCTACTGGAGAAATGAACTGGTTACTCAAACCTTAGTACAAAAACACAGGTTTAACAGATTTAACGTTTATAATAAACCTATGTTGGGCTATGGACGATTAGAAAAATAGAAGGAAATCTATTACCGGCATCGGAAATTAAATGTAAGAAAACTGCTAGTATATGTATATATAGATATTTTAGGTGAACTAAGAATTCAATTAATCATCTCATTTACGCAAAACTGCCCAACTAATTGTGAACAGCTTGTAAGAAAAGATATATATAGGGTACCAAAGATACAAAAACTGGGTGGCGGGGGGTTACATTTAGGAGGACCACTGACGAGATGGCACGAAACTGTTAACAGGCCACACGACCCAAGACACCCGACAGATGATGACTATAACCTAATAATGATATGCAATACATTTTCGCGCTGTTAATAAAACGTAAGAACATTAGCAGATGAAATATTGTAAAAAGCCTCACGTTTTTTCCACTTTAAGCTTCGAATATTAACAACTGGTATTAAAATATAAGGTAAATTCGAGGTTTACATGATAGATGTCGATGTATTTGTGTTAATTATGAAAGCATAATTCGGCCAACGGCACGCGCTACATTTTCAAAACCACCGTAGCTTTGCCCAGTGTGACAAAAATGAAGGCCGTTAGAACACAATTATGCTACTTCACCCGCCTGAAGCAAACAATAACTGCAGACTACCACGTTACACCTAACACACCTCTTAGCTCCGGACATGTGACGAAACAGATATAAATGTTGAAATCTGAAGCATGTCACATTCCAAGCTTCAAATGAGCTACATTCATTAATTTACGTATAGGCCATATGAAGAAAAACAGGAATGGAATACACGCCTGCTGTCCATATGTCTGAACGAACACTAAGGGGAAGAACAAAGTAAGAAGAATGGCATTGTTGCGTATATTTCCCTCTGTTCAAGTCTGCCTTCCACATGTTATGGTGGATATGAAACAAAAGAAATATTTCTTGAAGTCTCTTTCTTACTGTAGTACACGCTTCACTGCAAACTAAACCTTAATTTACAATATTCCGGCAAAAATCTTGAAGGAACACAGTCACTAAAGCATATGGTGTATCGACCATTTTGTTTTTACCAACAGTAGCAGAACTACATTCTAGTAATTTACTGAGGGTAAGGTAAAGGTAAAGCTATCCGTGTAACAAACTGTGAAGGCCCATGGGGTTCTGAGACGTCGAGGCTCCCACATTTTCTAGACAATCGACTCACAGATGGCGGTAAGGTTGTCAACAATTACAAATTAAATCGCATCAAAACCCAAGCCCCACAGAACCTAATTCCTAATTCAAAAGGTTCCGGTAAAACTCTTCACATGATACAGTGGTTGAAAAACGTGTATATCGACCATTTTGTCACTTTTTATAAAGTGTGGCATAGGAGTACTGGAGTTTCTGGAAACACGCACAGATAACTGGTATTATATCCCAAACCTCACTGCAATCTAAATCTTAACACACCAAAAAAAAATCGTCAAAAATACCGACGAAACAATTTTGATAATTTATCATATGGTATTTGGGTAGGCCTGTATTATAGTTGACTGAAACACACTAAAATATTCCGTAAACTGTCATGAGCTATAAATACTTTTAACTCTTAAGAGATTCAGGGGGAAATCGTCACGGAACACAATCGTTACAATTAACACAGTACCATCGATCCTTTTGTAACTTTTTATCACGCGTGTGTATGGGTATATTGTAGTTTAATGAAACACGTACAAATTGTGTATTACTAACTCCTATTACAGGCCAAAGCTCATTTTGATCTAGTTGTTAATTCAGAAAATCCTGACAAAAATACTGACGAGGCACATTCGTTACAAAGTACAGAGTATCAAACCATTTTCCAAGCATTTCTCTTTCCACGAAGAGCGTGGGAATATTCTATTCACTGGAATACATACACACGATAGCTTATGTAAAAACAAAAGAGAACGAAGTGTGGTGTGTTGCGCTGCTGCCCCTTCCCGTGACATCTGCGTGCTGCCGCCACCAGGTACCCACTTACTACATGTGATGATGCGAGCCCGGTCCGGTCCGCTGGAGCCTGGATCTGCTGCTCTCCCAAAATCAATAACGGCCGCCGCCTCCCGCCCCCG